ATAATAATAATAATAATAATAATAATAATAAGCAGGTCGGCCTCTGAATGTGTTCTATGTGGGAAGTTTTGGAGATAATAATAATAATAATAATGTTTAATCCTAGATGTTTAATAATAATGTTTAATAATAATAGTAATAATAATAATAATAATAATAATAATAGGCAGGTCGGCCTCTGCATGTGTTCTATGTGGGAAGATCTGGAGATAATAATAATAATAATAATAATAATAATAATAATAATAATAATAACGTTTAATCCTAGACGCTTAATAATAATGTTTAATAATAATAATAAGCAGGTCGGCCTCTGCATGTGTTCTATGTGGGAAGTTCTGGAGATGATGATGATGATAATAATAATGTTTAATCCAGAACAACAACACAAGTCAACAAAATCAACCTTTTTGTAATAATCAAAAATGAGAGTAACACAGTTTAAATCAATTCTATGGGGATTTTAAGTATATCTTTATTTTCCATCACATCAACTTTTTAAAATATGACAAATGGTACATTACAGCGGACTACTGTGAAGTCTGCACACTTCACATCATATTCGTGTAACATAAGCCGACAAGTATTTTTCATCAGATTTAATTTTAGGCCATTCTTAATCGTTTTTTGTGTGTGTGCTGAATTCAGATGTTTATTTTTTTTTTCTCTATTACGTGTAGTTTTCGCGATGAGGCTAATCAAATAATTAATGCATTTACACACTGATATCAATTAGATTATGTTGCTCTCAGTGCATTAAATGCATTAATTATTAAATTATCCTCATCACAAAAAACTACACGTGATAGAGCAAAAAATAAAGACAAATCTGAATTCAGCACAAAAAAAACCCCTATTAAGAATGACCTAAAATTATATCTGATGAAAAATATTTGTTGGCTTGTGTAATAACAATTTTTTTGTAATAATAATAATAATAATAATAATAAACTTTATTTTTGGACCCTGCCTCCATCTCCCTGAAGGGACTCGGGGCAGTTTACATATGGCACAAGGTGCCTAAAAAAATCACATAAAATAAACACACGGTACAATACAAAAAAGTAAAACCAATAGCACCTAAAACAACAATTTAAAACTCTTAACAGGAATGTGGAATATGCGTATATTAAAAATATGTCAATAAGAATAAAAGAGAACTATTACAAAGTAGTGTGGAGATGGTACCTCACACCAGTCAGATTAAATCAAATTGACAAGAAACATTTTAAGCAGTGCTGGAGGGGCTGTCAAGAAACTGGCACATATATACACATGTGGTGGTCTTGCAAATATGTTCAAAGATTTTGGGAAAATGTATTTCAAGAAATAAGAAGAATCGCCCAAATAGAGATAACAGGAACACGGGAGATAGCATTGCTGTCATTTATTGACAATGTTAAAATACCAAAAGAACTAAAAGAATTAATTGCCAATCTGGTAACAGCAGCAAGATTATTAATAGCTAAAAAATGGAAAGAAGGAGGGGAGTGCCAATTGGAAGAGTGGTATAGGGAGATTCTGGGACATCGCAATAAACGATAAACTGACAGGAAACATTAAGGTTAAAAGAGGATTATCAAAAAAAGATGATTTTGGGAAGATTTGGGGAAAATTGATAGAATATGTATATATAGAAAACGGCAAAACAAAAAAACTCAAAAAACCCCAACGAAACTTAACCAAAATTCCCATGCCCATAACACAACCCACAAGGTACAAAAATATCTACTCAAAGTGAAAAACAACACAACAACACACTCACAAAACGGCAAAACAACAAAACTCAAAACCCCCAACGAAACTTAACCAAAATTCCCATGCCCATAACACAACCCACAAGGTACAAACATATCTACTCAAAATGAAAAACAACACAACAACACACTCACAAACCGGCAAAACAACAAAACTCAAAAATCCCCCAACGAAACTTAACCAAAATTCCCATGCCCATAACACAACCCACAAGGTACAAACATATCTACTCAAAATGAAAAACAACACAACAACACACTCACAAAACGGCAAAACAACAAAACTCAAAAATCCCCCAATGAAACTTAACCAAAATTCCCATGCCCATAACACAACCCACAAGGTACAAACATATCTACTCAAAATGAAAAACAACACAACAACACACTCACAAAACGGCAAAACAACAAAACTCAAAAATCCCCCAACGAAACTTAACCAAAATTCCCATGCCCATAACACAACCCACAAGGTACAAACATATCTACGCAAAATGAAAAACAACACAACAACACACTCACAAAACGGCAAAAAAACAAAACTCAAAAAAACCAACGAAACTTAACCAAAATTCCCATGCTCATAACACAACCCACAAGGTACAAACATATTACTCAAAATGAAAAACAACACAACAACACACTCAAAACGGCAAAAAAACAAAACTCAAAAAAACCCCAACGAAACTTAACCAAAATTCCCATGCCCATAACACAACCCACAAGGTACAAACGTATCTACTCTAAATGAAAAACAACACAACAACACTCACAAAACGGCAAAACAACTGAGCATGCGCATTGGCGCCCAGCCGCAAGTTCCCTGGCGCGCGCACATGCCCTTCCGGCCAACGTTCCCTCTGCGGAAACCATGCCCACTCCAAGCCCCGCCGCGCCGCTTCCCGCACACACACACACCCCTGCCGCACATACACACACAACCCCCACTCCATCACTCCCCCCGCCGCCGCACACACACACGCAACCCCACACTCCATCACTCCCCGCTGCCGCACACACACGCAACCCCATTCCCCCCGCCGCCGCACACACACACGCAACCCCATACTCCATCACTCCCCCGCCGCCGCACACACACACGCAACCCCACTCCCCCCGCCCGCACACACACACGCAACCCCGCTCTCCCCCCCCGCCGCCGCACTACACACACGCAACCCCACGCTCCATCACCCCCGCCGCACACACACACACAACCCCACGCTCCATCACTCCCCCGCTGCTGCACACACACACGCAACCCCACTCCCCCGCCGCCGCACACACACACGCAACCCCACACTCCATCACTTCCCCCGCTGCCGCACGCACACACGCAACCCTACGCTCCATCACTCCCCCACCCCAATCTTACTTTACTTCACGCCACCTCCAAACCCACCCCTTCCCGCCCTGTCAAAATCTAGGAAAGACAGGAATGAAGAAGAAGGAAGAAAGAGAAAGGGAGGTAAAGAAAAAGGGGGAAGGAAGGAAAGTTAGAGAAAGAAGGAAGAAGAAAAGGAAAGAAAAGGAAAGATGGAAGGAAAGGAAAGAGAGACAGCAGAAAAGAAAGAAAAAGGGGGAAGGAAGGAAAGAGATAGAGAAAGAAGAGGAGAAGGAAAGATGGGAGGGAAGGAAGGAGGGAAAGAAGGAGAGAAAGAGGGAAGATTGGCCACAGCAACACGTGGCGGGTAAAGGTTGTTATTTCTATTATTATTATTATTATTATTATGCTATTGTTCCTATGAGACCCTTTTGGGGGGAATGGGAGAGGTGTCAGGTCCCAGAGGCAATGCATTGCATTATTGTTATTGTTATGATGGTGGTGAAATAAAAGGAAATAAAAAGTGAAAGAAGGAAGCAAACAGGGAGGGAAGAAAGGCAAAGGAAGGAAGGGGGAGGGAATGAAGGAAAGAGAGAAGGATGAAACCAAGTAGTGAAAGAAAGAAAGAGGTAGAGAAGGAAGAAAGGAGAGAAAGGGGAGGAAAAGGGGGAAGGAATAGGTAGGTACCTCTCTTTCATAATAGTCCAGATATCTACCTCAACTTTGATAAGTTTTACTATAGGCCACAGCAACTCGTGGCAGGGCACAATAGAATATGTATATATAGAAGGTAAGGGGACCAAACCTGTAATAGAAACAACTGATTTTTGGGAATAAATATTGTAATTGGCTGGTCGGGGGTGAAGGGTTAGCACTGGGTGATTGGATGTATTGAAGCAGGAGAATGAAATATTATAGCTATTTATTTACTTTACTTGTATACCGCACTATCTCAGCCCGTAGGCGACTCAGTGCGGTTTACAGCCAGGACAATATACAAGGTGCACAACATTAGCATTTAAAACAGTAACTAAATCAACTACGTCAATATAACAATACAACAGAACATCAATATAGCATCTATACATCTATATAACTAATCCATCACGTCTCAACGGTAAAATCATAATCCGATCTCCTCGTCCATTATTCCAAGTTCCAGGATCAATCAGTTGGTTGCACTGCTTAATTAAACGCCTGTTCAAAGAGCCAGGTCTTTACTCTTCTTCTGAATGCCAGCAGGGAGGGGGCCGATCTAACGTCTGCGGGAAGGGCGTTCCACAGCCGGGGGGCCACCACTGAGAAGGCCCTGTCTCTCGTCCCCGCCAGCCGTGCTTGTGAGGCTGGCGGGATCGAGAGCAGGGCCTCCCTGGACGAGATTATAGGTATCAAGACATACATGTTCTGTACAAATTGTTAATGGGAAGTGATAAGTACAAGAATGTTTAAACACTGAATATGTTAAAGCTACAATAAATAAAAAGTTAAAAAAAAAATAAAACTCATAACAGTGCCCAATAACCTATGGTGACAGGTGCCGTAAGACATGGCCAAACTGTAAACAAGTCAAGCCAATGGGATAGTGCAAATTGTCGCTAAGGATGAAAGTGCAGTGCGGCAAGTGGTTCTCTTCAGGTAAACAGTGCAACCCCCCAGGTCCGTCTTGTCATGTTGACCCCTCCTCCCTCCCTCCTTCTCTTGCAGGCGGTGAGGCCAGCTTATGGGATATTCCAATTAATTCTTCAACTCAGGGTCCAAGCTTAGAACAACTGCAGCTGCAACACAAAGTGAGTGAGGAGGAGGAGGGGCAGTGGAAGTGGGGAGGCCCGGGCTCCCATTCCTCTTCGGACTCTCCTCATGGAGAGAAAAAAGCAGGGTATCAACAAACACAAAAAAATAATAGTAATCTTGTGGCCCTCAGTTCCAGGAGCGGAGAGGCGCCGAACTCAGGGCCAAGCGGGAGGAGGAGGAGCGCAAGCGGCGCCAAGAGGAGCAGAAGCGGCGCCAGGAGGAGGAGGAGCTCTTCCGGCGCAAGCAGGCCCGGGCCGGCCCCGGCAACGCCTCCCACGTGCAGGTGGGTCTCAGCCCCAAAGCTGCTGTTCATCCCTCCCTCCCTTCCCCATTGCGGTCCCAGTCTCCACTGGTGGGATCGGAGTAATGCTTTCACCTCTCCTTCCTTACGAAGAGAAAGGTTCCCAGAGATTATTTCGCCTTGCACTTTATGAGACTGATATTGATTGCAATTGTTGCATTTTTTTTTTTATTTTAACCCAGTGGGGTTTTTATGATGTTACGTTGTTTGTTATTGCTTTTGTGTTGTTTTCTATGTGTTTGTTGTATTTGTGTGTTTATTTATATTTATTTATTTATTTCAAAGTTTTCTATGCCGACCTTCTCACCTCATTGAGGGGCTCAGCCCGGTTTCCAACCATAAAAACACATACAATCAGTAAAATATCATAGTTCACGATTACCGTAACACATTTAAAATAACAATATATTTAAAACTACAGTGGTCAGTCGTTTGCACCTTTGAGTGTTATGTGAGCCACCCCAAGTCCCTCGGGAGATGGTGGCGGGGGGTAAATAAAGCATTTATTATTGTTATTATTATTATTATTATTATTATTATTATTATTATTATTATGGAGCCCCTGGTGGCACAGTGGGTTAAAGTGCTGAGCTGCTGAGCTTGTTGACTGAAAGGTCGCAGGTTCTAATCCGGGGAGCGGTGTGAGCTTCCGCTGTCAGCCCCAGCTCCTGCCAACCCAGCATTTCGAAAACATGCAAATATGAGTAGATCAATAGGTACTGCTCCAGTGGGAAGGTAACGGTGCTCCATGCAGTCGTGCCGGTCACATGACCTTGGAGATGTCTACGGACAATGCCGGCTCTTTGGCTTAGAAATTGAGATGAGCACCACAACCCAGAGTGGGACGCGACTGGACTTAATGTCAGGGGAAAACCTTTACCTTTACCTATTATTATTATTATTATTATTATTATTATTATTATGGAGCCCCTGGTGGCGTAGTGGGTTAAAGTGCTGAGCTGCTGAGCTTGTTGACTGAAAGGTCGCAGGTTCTAATCCGGGGAGCGGTGTGAGCTTCCGCTGTCAGCCCCAGCTTCTGCCAACCTAGCAGTTTGAAAACATGTAAATATGAGTAGATCAATAGGTACTGCTCTGGCGGGAAGGTAACGGTGCTCCATGCAGTTGTGCTGGTCACATGACCTTGGAGATGTCTACAGACAACGCCAGCTCTTTGACTTAGAAATGGAGATGAGCACCACACCCCAGAGTCGGACATGACTGGACTTCATGACAGGGGAAAACCTTTACCTATTATTATTATTATTATTATTATTATTATTATTATTATTATTATTATTATAATAAACACAACAAGATGAGTCCACAGCAAACAAGATCACTCTGCTGGATGTTGTAGTGGACCACACGTCGGACACTCAAGTGTCTAGGACTATGTGATGTGTCGTCGAATAATGTGTGCAGATCCCATTAGGGTGGCCTTTTGCAGCTGACAGATGGTAACTTTGTCAGCAGCGATTGTGTTTAAGTGCGGGCCAAGGTCTTTAGTCACTGCACCCAGTATGCCAATCACCACTGTGACCCCCTTCGCTGGCTTGTGCCAGAGTCTTTGCAGTTCGATCTTTAAATCCTCGTATTGTGTCAGCTTGTATTGTTGTTGTTGTTGTTGTTACTGGTGGTTCATGGAATCATAGAATCAAAGAGTTGGAAGAGACCCCATGGGCCATCCAGTCCAACCCCCTGCCAAAGCAGGAATGTTGCATTCAAATCACCCCTGACAGATGGCCATCCAGCCTCTGTATAAAAGCTTCCAAAGAAGGAGCCTCCACCACACTCCAGGGCAGAGAGTTCCACTGCTGAACGGCTCTCACAGTCAGGAAGTTCTTCCTCGTGTTCAGATGGAATCTTTTCTCTTGTAGTTTGAAGCCATTGTTCCATTGCGTCCCAGTCTCCAAGGAAGCAGAAAACAAGCTTGCTCCCTCCTCCCTTTGGCTTCCTCTCACATATTTATGGCTATCATATCTCCTTTCAGCCTTCTCTCCTTCAGGCTAAACATGCCCAGTTCCTTAAGCCGCTCCTCATAGGGCTTGTTCTCCAGACCTTTGATCATTTTAGGCAGCACTGGGCCCTTGGAGAGTGGGGTCTGGGATTTCCAGCCGGGTGGGTGTTCTCACCCCCCTCCTTCCTGTCTTCCTTGTCCCCAGCTGTCCTCTTCCTCCTCGTCTTCCTCCTGGGGCCAGCAGTCGGTCAACAGCAACTCCTCCTCCCAGAACAGCTTCAGCATCGCCGACATCCAGAAGATGGGGGACGCCCGGGCCTGCCGGGAGCTGCGGGAAATGCGGGAAGAAGTGAGTGCAGCCCCAAGGGGAAGGGGCCGGGGGAAGAAAGAGGGAGGGTGGGGGTCTTAGCGGCCACATCGAGGCCCGCCTGCGGGAGAACTGGGCTGGCCCTCCACCCTCCGTCTGTCTCCTCTCCTCTCTCAGTGTCGGCAGCAGGAGCTGCTCCTGAAGCTCCTCCAGCAGCAACAGCAGCAGCAGAACTCTCACCCGCTGTGGGGCAGCCTGGCCAAGCAGAACATCTCCATGAAGGCCCTGCTGGAGCTGCAGCAGGAGAGCGAGAGGCACCTGCAGAAGCAGCAGCAGCAGCAGCAGAGGGCCCAGCAGAGAGGGGTGAGTCCAGAACCGGCAGGGAAAACAACCCTCTTCTTCCACACGGAGGGTTTGGAAGGCCGCCTTCTGCACCGGAGAATGACCAGCCCTCTTCTCTTGGCTTTTTCCTTCCCCAGCATGGCAGCCATGGCCTGGCCAGCCTCTCCTCCTCGTCGCAGTGGGGGGTGGACTCGGGTTCGCTGTGGGGCGGCCATGACAAGAACAGCTCCATCAGCCTCTGGGAGGAGAGCGTGAAGAACGCCGGGCCCCTCGCCCGCAGCCTGGGCCTGAAGAACAGCCGCAGCAGCCCCTCCCTGGGGTGAGTGCATGTGCAACCGAGTGCTTGTGTTGCTTGGAAGGGGCGCCCAAAGGCAATCCAGTCCGACCCCCTCCTGCCACAAGCTGTGGGAGGGCCAAGAGAGGAGGCAAGGCCCCTCTCCAATCCTCTCCGGCTTTCTTTTCTGGGCAGGGACTCCTACGGGGCTTCCTGTCGCCAGAGCCGGAAGAAGACGGACGAAGAGGAGAAGCTCCTGAAGCTGCTGCAGGGCTTCCACAAGCCGACCCCCCAGGATGGGTTCACCCAGTGGTGCGAGCAGATGCTCCACGCTCTCAATACCTCCAGCAACCTCGATGGTGCGTGTGCATGTGTTTGTGTGTGTGTTTTGGGTGGGATTTCCCAAAAGGGGGGGGGGCAAAGAAGCCTCCGAGCCTCAAAAGCAGGAATGGGCCAATTTCGGCCCTCCAGGTGTTTTGGACTTTCACTCCCATAATTCCTAATTTGGTCCATGCCTCGTCCAGAGGGAGGAGTCCCATGTTCATGCCTATGGAGAGAGAGAAAGGAAACTAGGAGAGTTGACCGGGGTGCATGGCACCCCTTCCTCACTGTGCTCTCCTCCCCCATTTCCTGCCCAGTGCCCACGGCAGTGGCCTTCCTGAAGGAGGTGGAGTCCCCCTACGAGGTCCACGACTGCATCCGCTCCTACCTGGGAGACACCCTGGAAGCCAAAGAGTTCGCAAAGCAGTTCCTGGAGCGCCGTGCCAAGCAGAGGGCCAACCAGCAGCGCCAGCAGCAGCAGGTCAGGAGGGGAAGGCGTTATCATCCATACAGTAAATCCCTCCAAACGATGCCACGCACTGTCTCAATGTCATCAACAAGAATCAGTCCAACACAGCGCAAAGCAGAGATAGTCAGAGTTCACTCCAAAGGTCCATGTTGTTGTTGTTATTGTTGTTGTTTCCCATTGTGGTCAACTGTGAATCACACATAAGGTATTTCCTGAACCTGCGCAGACAGTTTGGAATCTTCTAGAAAACTTACTCGACACTTTTAGGCAGTAGCCACACCCACTCTCCCCATAGAGTATATAGCCAGTGGGAGGGGCTACTGTCTCAGTTCCTTTCATCCGCCGCCATTGCAACAGTTCATTTTTGATTAGCGTTTCTGGACTGCATTAATTTCTTTGCTTCAATTTTTATTATTTTAATTTTTTTAAATTTTATTATTGTTATTACCTCTTATTTTTTCATGGTTACGGTATGTTGACTACCGATTTCTTTCCAAAGTGTCCCTGTCGTATGTGTCAGCATTTTTCCAACGTCAGAGTCCTGGAGGTTATGCTCAATTCTGGCCACAAGGAGGTGTTGTTGCTCCATTCACTATGTTGACAAGCCTTTTGATCACAGACTTTCCTCCTTCTTTAATCGTAGTCTTTTTATGGTGCCGTAAAATACCTCCCCGCTTAAGCGGTGCTAATTTCACTACTTGCAGCTCACAGATGTTTTTGAACTGCTTAGGTGGACAGTAAGCTAGGCTAAAAGTCAGGTGCTCATCCCGACCCAGGCTTGGAACAGCCAACCTTTCAGCTGGGAAGGATCTAGATTGCCCCAAGGCAGCGTGACCCAGCACCAGGAGTCCAAAGGGATAAAAAGAACAAAAAACACACAGACCAATGTTTTCTCTTCCATAGGAGGCCTTTCTTTGTAGTGAAATAATATGGTTGAACTATTGACAACAACAAGGTTTCCATAACATGAATGCATAGTAGCTTTACACACAACAGCCTTCACCCTGGAGCTTTCTCACATGAGGCTTCTCTCACAATTGGCGTTCTCATAGACTAAGGCCTACCTCACATTTTGAGGCCGACCTCACAGAGAAACCTCCTCACACAGGCTGAGGAGTTTCCTCATTGAGACAAGCTTTAATACTAACAGGCTTCGGCCTACTCACTCTCCTCAGGACGACGCTAGCTTTGGCGCACTGACTCTAACAGGCTTCGGCCTACTCCCCTTCCTCAGGACGACAGTAGCATTGGCCCACTGACTCTTAACAGGCTTCGGCCTACTCACTCTCCTCAGGATGACACTAGCGTTGGCCCACTGAACCTAACATGCTTCAGCCTATTTACTCTCCTCAGGACAACATTAGCTTTGGTCCACTGATTAACAGGCTTTGGCCTGCTCACTCTCCTCAGGGCAACACTAACTTTGGCCCACTGACTCTAACAGGCTGCGGCCTGCTCACTCTCCTCAGGACGACTCTAGCTTTGGCCCACTGACTCTTTTTAAAAATATTTTTATTGAAATAATTTGCAGTTACATAAAAAAGGGAGGAAGGTTGTGTCTGAAGCTCTTCATCCCAAGGTATAGTCCTTATTCATGAATCCCAGTTCTTAATCTTTCCTAAATTGTTCTCTTATTTGGAAATATTGATGCCAAGAGATATTTTTGTTTATTTGGTGTAACTCTTATGTTTTTAATGTCACAATACCATCTTTTTAAGTTAAAATTTCCTTGTAGGTAGGCCACTCCCCCCCCCCCCCCCCCCAAATTCTCACAATTGACAGGCCTCAATAGGAGAGATCCAATAGGAGAGACTCCAACAGGCTTCGGCCAACTTACTCTCCTCAGGATGACACTAGCTTTGGCCCACTGACTAACAGGCTTTGGCCTACTCACTCTCCTCAAGACGACACTACTTTTGGCTCACTGACCCTAATAGGCTTCGGCCTACTCACTCTCCTCAGGACGACACTAGCTTTGGCTCACAAACTCTTAACAGGCTTCGGCCTACTCATTCTCCTCAGGACAACACTAGCTTTGGCTCACAAACTCTTAACAGGCTTCGGCCTACTCACTCTCCTCAGGACAACACTAGCTTTGGCTCACAAACTCTTAACAGGCTTCGGCCTACTCATTCTCCTCAAGATGTTGCTAGCTTGGCCGACTCTTAACAGGCTTTGGTCTGCTCACTCCCCTCACGACAACACTAGTTTTGGCCCACTCACTCTAACAGGCTTCGGACTACTTACTCTCCTTAGGATGACACTAACTTTGGCCCATTGACTCTTAACAGGCTTTGGCCTACTCACTCTCAGGACAACATTAGCTTTGGCCCACTGACTCTTAACAGGCTTCGGCCTACTTACTCTTCTCAGGAAAACACTAGCTTTGGCTCACTGACTCTTAACAGGCTTTGGCCTACTCACTCTTTCAGTGCTTGACTTACTTTTGTAATCTAATTTAATTGTTTTTTACAAGTTCCGCTTCCAGGAAAGCCCTTTTTTGCAAGGTCTCTGCTCACACCCCCTTCTCCTTCCTTCCTTGTCTTTTCTCACCCACTTCCCACTTGCTTGTCCTTTTGCAGGAAGCCTCCTGGCTGAGCCCCAGCAGCCTTCAGTCCCTTTTCCAGTCCAACCACAACCCCAAGCCACCGTCGTTTGAGAGCAGCCAGGCCCTGAAGATCAAGCGGCGCCCCATGATGCTCCATGCGGACCCCAGCATCCTCGGTGAGGCCCTGAGGGCATCTCAGGAAGGGATTGGGGTGGGGTGGGGTGGGGTGGGGAGGGGAGGGAACGACCTCAGGGGACACGAGAGGGGTCCAGAACAGGGACACGGGGGCCAGAGTTGCTCCTTGCAGGGGCTGGGATGGGATTAGGGGGGCTGGAACCCCCCTAAAGTGGGGAAAGACCCCAAGGACCACCCAGTCCACCTTCTGACAAGCATTTGGGCACAGTCAAAGCACCCTCAACACATGGCCATTCAGCCTCTGATGAAAAACCACCAGAGAAAGAGACTCTGTTGGACTTCCAGGAAGTAGCATATTCTAGAAAAATCGCCTTCACACCCACCCACCCCCCACCCCCCGACAGATGGCCATCCTGCCTCTGCTTCAAAGCCTCCAAAGAAGGAGCCTCTTCCACACTCTGGGGCAGAGAGTTCCACTGCTAAACAGTTCTCTCTCCCAACTTGGACATTATTCCTGAGACCTAGAGTCCCCTCTTGCCTAATTTCCAACAGACCTCACAACCTCTGAGGATTACTGCCATAGATGTGGGCAAAAGATCAGGAGAGATTGCACCTGGAACATGGCCAAATATCCCAGAAAATTCACAGGAGTCTGTCACAGGCAGATGGTATTTGTGGCACAAGTTCCAATGAATCATCTGAGCAACGGTGTTATGCCTCTGCTTGTAGTCTGTCTGCGTGATCTTCTTGCAGCAGCTGAGGATGGGATCTATTGTTTCATCTGCTTCCTTGCAGACAACTAATAATGTAATGAAATATAACAATAATAAATAACAAACTAACAATATAACATAATAATAATACATAGACTCCCGAGATGCTGTTTCCGACGCAGGGCCGCCATTCAACCTCATTGGCTTTCTCTCCCTCCCTCTCTTCTCCTCCGTCCTTGCAGGGTACGCCCTTCACGGCTCCTCCAGCGAGTTGGAAACAGTGGAAGACTACTGACTGCGCTGCTGCGCCTCACAGCAATAGGAACCTCTCTCCCATCTTCTTCCTCCCTCCCTCCCTTCCTTTCTCTGCCGCTGCTGCCTTGAATCTCACCCCTTTCAGTCCCGGCTGAATGTGCACTGCGAGAGGCGGCCATCTTTGTTGTGTTTTGGGGGGGGAGAGAGAGACACTTCCTCCTCCCCCTTCTCCTCCTCCCTTGGCCCCTCCCTCCTCCCTCCCAGGAGGAGTGGTCAGCGGAGGTCAGCGGTGGTCAGCGGCGGCTGCGGGTCAGTGGGGCCCGGCTGGAGGACGGACATCCAAGCACTTCTTTCCTTACGAGAAAAAAAGCACCTTAAAGCGGAACAAAAAAGAACTTTTTTTCTGCCATGCACTTTATCAAAAGAGAACTCTTTGTGTTGTCATCATTTTCCTTTTTTTTACAGTGACTTGTTACAGATTCAAAAAAAAAGAGTTTAAAAAAAAGAGGAAAAAATACTTTTTTTGGAGTTTATAGAAAAGACAATTTTTTTATAAAAAAAAGTTTAAAAAAAACCTACAAAAAGTTTATCTTTAAAGAAAAACACTTATTTTTCACACGGGGAAAATCTATCTATCTATATATATACGTTCAGAAAAAAAACAATGTGAGTGGCATTTTTTTCACAAAGGCTTGATATAAAAAAAAGATTTATAAGACAAAAAAAACTTGAAGACCTGCACTTAGAGAAGAAGAAGAAAAAAAAGAGAAAAGAACTGTGTTGCTGTTTTTTTAAAAAAATGATATTTTTCTTTCTTTTTGGGAACGTATAGATAATGTGTAAATACTGTTGAAGAACTCTTATTCCGCACAGTATATTTTCTCTTACAAAGAGGCCATTTTATATGAAAATATTTTTGTTTTTTGTTTAATTGTCAGATGGTTTAATGTTGTCAGAATTTTTTGTTTTGTTTTTTTGGTTGGAGAATTTTTTTTTCTTGGGTTGGAGAAAAAAAAAGAATTGCACAAAAATGCCTCCTTTCCTTGTTTCCCTTCCTTATGTTTTTGGACGTACAATTCAATTTCAATGTATTTTTTATATAAAAAAAGAAGAAAGGAAAAAAATACAAAAAAAAAAAGAGAGAAATGAATTTCAAGACACACTAAAAGCGACAATGAAGCGGGTCTGTTGCTGGTACCAGAAGCTCCCAGACTCCTTTCCTGCGGCAAACTACAAATCCCAGCCATCAGCTTCCAGTTTTTTTCTTCCAGGAAGACTTCCTCCTTCCTTCCTTGCTTCCTTCCGGATCGTGCCCCGAACCTTTGGTTTCCTTCTGGAATGTTCCACGGATCTTTCGTCAGCTTCGATCTTCAAATATATTATGAATTCTGTCGGCAAACCTTCCATGGACTTTTCGTCCACCTCGGTTTTCAAATATATACGATTTCTGTCTCTGCAAATCTTCCACGGACTTTTCGTCCGCCTCGGTCTTCAAATATATTACAATTTCTTTGTCTGCAAATCTTCCACAGACTTATCGTCAACCTCGGTCTTCAAATACATTACGATTTCTGTCTGCAAATATTTTTTTTATTTTTTTTCTGGGTGTGAGATGCACTTTTGGGAAGAAGAAGAACAACAACAAAATACGTACAAGAAGATTTGAATGTTTCAATGTGTTGTCGAAGGCTTTCATGGCCAGAATCACTGGGTTGCGGCACGTTTTTCTGGCTGTACGGCCATGTTCCAGAAGCATTCTCTCCTGATGTTTTGCCCACATCTATGGCAACCTCTTACCGCTCAACCTGTGAGGATGCCTACCATAGACGTGGTCGAAACGTCAGGAGAGAATGCTTCTGGAGCATGGCCGTACAGCCCTGAAAACTCCCAGCAACCCAATTGAATGTTTATGTTTTTTTTTTCCTTGTCTTACACAGATGTTCATCGAAACCATACTGGAAGTAAGCTAGCTTGGAATGATTATTTTCGGAGAAAGACTTGTGTGCAGGGAACGCTCTTCCTGTGTGCACTCAAAGCAGAAATGAATGTATCCGATGCGTCGCCGCCCGGGAGAAAAGCTGCCCGGCGACAAGCGTTTTCCGCCATCTTTGTTCACAAGACTGTTGTGTTTTCGAGCCCCTCCTTTTTGTGTGTGTGTGTGTGACATCTGAGCTTCCTTCCTCCCCAAATTACCGCTCTTTTGGGGCAAACATTTCCTTGTGGATAGATACATACATGTGCCTATGTATACATCAGGTGTGTGCAAACTTGGGCCCTCCAAGTGTTTTGGACTCCAACTCGAACCATTCCTAACAGCCTCAGGCCCTTTCCTTTTCCCCCTCAGCCGCTTAAACCTTTGTTTACATTCAGAAGGACAAAACAAGGGACTTCCTTTCCAAATCCCGGATGAGCCCCCATTATTTGCTTAAGCGGCTAAGGGGCAGAAGGAAAGGTCCTGAGGCTGTTAGGAATGGTGGGAGTTGCGTCCAAAACATCTGGAGGGAGGGTCGAAGTCGGCTCGTGCCTGGTATACATACATAGCCACGCACCCGATATCTTTACAGATGATTCATCTTTTTATATCTTATCTCTTGATATCGATATATCGTAACATAATTTTGCTTGAAGAGATCGGGGTGGGTTTTTTTTGGGGGGGTTACAAATTGCGTATGATTTGATTTCCTTTGTTTACAATCTTGGTTTGTGGGGGAACTGGTTGCACACAGGGTACGCAGTCACAGCAGAGGGGGAGATATCTATGTATATGTAGGTCTGCGGCACTCTTTCAGCCCATAAGCATCCCTCTGAAATGTGGAACGTGTGTCGTGTATATCTCTGTGTATAGGTCTTCGACACCCTTTCAAAACATACATACATATAGATATACGTCTGTTTGTCTTGACCCATAAGATCGCTCTGACATATGGGAAGTGTATATTTATATGTGTGTGCGTGTAGGTCTGTAACACTATTTCAGCCCATGAGCTTCTCTCTGAAATGTGGAAAGTGTGTGTGTGAGTATATTTACATACATATATGCATACACACACATATATGTGTAGTTTGTACCACTCTTGACCCCTAAGATCCCTCCGAAATGTGGAAAGTATATCTGTGTATATGTGCACACACACATGTTTGTATGTAGGGCTGTAGCACTCTTCCAATGCATAAGCATCCCTCCGAAAGGTGGAAAGACTGTATCTGTGTGTACATATACATATACAACTACATGAAAAAAAATATGTATGTATATATGGGGTCTGTGCCAGTCTTTGGATCCTTAAGATCCCTCTGAACGTGGAAAGTATATATCTATTTTGGCCCATAAGCATCCCGCTGAAATGTGGAAAGTATATCTATGTATATGTATATGCACACATATGTATATGTAAGTCTGTAACAGTCTTGCAATGCATAAGCATCCCTCCGAAAAGTGGAAAGACGGTAACTGTGTGTGTATACACATACATACACACCTACATGAATATATGTATGTATGTAGTGTGTGCCACTCTTTCGACCCTTAAGATCCCTCTGAAATGGGGAAAGCATGCATATGTATGTGTATATATACACACACATGTACATACACACCTACATGAATATATATATGGTCTGTGCCAGTCTTCCGACCCTTAAGATCCCTCTGAAATGTGGAAAGCATGCATATGTATGTGTATTCACACACACACATGCATATATATAGGTCTGCTTGGCACTCTTTTGACCCATGACATTTCTCCAAAATGTGGATTGTGTATGTATATATGTATGTATATAGGTCTGTCTTCCTGTCTGTTACCCTCTTTTGACCCATGACACCCCTCGCCTTTGAATTTGGGGTCAGGAAACTTTTGCCCCACTGAGCCTCTGCTTTGCTTTGGGGCTTTGGAAGGAGACGGACCCTCCTTCCCTCCCTATATTGGGTGCCATGTTTTGTGCCCCCTCCTCATTGTTTATGTAGGTCTTCCCTCCCCCAAAGGGGCAAGGAGAACACCTCCCAATGACATCATTTGGAGGCGCCATGAATGCTGTGATGCTTTAACCCTTGTGTGTTTTTTAGGCAGGAAGCCTTCTCTTGTTTCCTTCCTTTGCTGAAATAGAGGAGGAGGAGGAGGGAGGCCATCGCTGTGAAAGTCATTTCCAGGCTGTCTCTCTTTTCTCTCTGTTTTGGTCAGTATTGAGCCACGGAGGGGGGCTGCAAAGGGGCTCCGAAACACCGCTCAAGTACTCTTTCTTCCAATTGAGAAGCTGCTTCCTTGGTCTGCCTTTTTCCAAACAAGGGCTTTCCTGTTGTAATGTCGTAGAGCGTTGGATCCTCTCTTGGATCCCAATATCGGAATGGGTTGTTATGGGGCATGGTCAAACAGTCCTCCAGGTGTTTTGGACTTAAGACACCCATAACATAGGTATGCTGATGATCTCTTGATTAAGTTCCAAGAGGACAAAAGAATGGGCCAACTTCATCCCAACTTCCAAGTGTTTTGGACTTGGGACACCCATAACGTGGGTATGCAGATGATCCCTTGATTGTCTGGTTCCAACTTTATCCCAACTTCCAGGTGTTTTGGACTTGGGACACCCATAACGTAGGTATGCTGATGATCCCTTGATTAAGTTCCAAGAGGACAAAGGCATGGGTTAACTTCATCCCAACTTCCAGGTGTTTTGGACTTAGGACACCCATAACGTGGGTATGCTGATGATCCCTTGATTGTCTAGTTCCAACTTCATCCCAACTTCCAGGTGTTTTGGACTTGGGACACCCATAACGTGGGTATGCTGATGATCCCTTGATTGTCTAGTTCCAACTTCATCCCAACTTCCAGGTGTTTTGGACTTGGGACACCCATAACTTGGGTATGCTGATGATCCCTTGATTGTCTGGTTCCAACTTCATCCCAACTTCCAGGTGTTTTGGACTTGGGACACCCATAACGTGGGTATGCTGATGATCCCTTGATTTAAGTTCCAAGAGGACAAAAGCATGGGTTAACTTCATCCCAACTTCCAGGTGTTTTGGACTTGGGACACCCATAACGTGGGTATGCTGATGATCCCTTGATTTAAGTTCCAAGAGGACAAAAGTATGGGTTAACTTCATCCCAACTTCCAGGTGTTTTGGACTTAGGACACCCATAACGTAGGTATGCTGATGATCCCTTGGATTAAGTTCCAAGAGGACAAAACCATGGGCTAACTTCATCCCAACTTCCAGGTGTTTTGGACTTGGGACACCCATAACGTGGGTATGCTGATGATCCCTTGATTTAAGTTCCAAGAGGACAAAAGTATGGGTTAACTTCATCCCAACTTCCAGGTGTTTTGGACTTGGGACACCCATAACGTAGGTATGCTGATGATCCCTTGATTAAGTTCCAAGAGGACAAAGGCATGGGTTAACTTCATCCCAACTTCCAGGTGTTTTGGACTTAGGACACCCATAACGTGGGTATGCTGATGATCCCTTGATTGTCTAGTTCCAACTTCATCCCAACTTCCAGGTGTTTTGGACTTAGCACACCCATAACATGGATATGCTGATGATTCCTTGATTAAGTGTCTGGTTCCAAGAGGACAAAAATATGGGCCAACTACATCCCTCGTTCCAGGTGTTTTGGACTCCACCTCCCACCATTCCTGACAGCCTCAGGCCCCTTCCTTTTGCCCCTCAGCCTGCTTAAGCGGCTGAGGGAAAAAGGAAAGGGCCTGAGGCTGTCAGGAATGGTGGGAGGTGGAGTCCAAAACACCTGGAACGAGGGCCAAAGTTTGACCATGCCTGCTATAACCTTTCCTCCTTTCCAACCGAACAGGAACTCAGACGAACTTCCATTATGTTCTTCCTTTTCCTTCCCAAGGTACGGGCAAAGTTTACACTAATTGCAGCCGTGGATGCCCCTCGTCCCCTTTAGCCTTTTTGGGGAGGGGGTTGCAGAGACCCCTCTTTTTCTTCCCCTTCGAAAAGGGGTCTCCGAATGCGCCTTCCATTTTCACGCTCCCACCCCTCTCGTGTAAATAGCGTCTGATATCAAATGCGGTGAAATCATTTACATGCGTGTTTTCTTTTGTTTTGCCTTATAGAAATGAATGCATTGAGTGTTTTTTTTTAAAGGGGGGGTGGGACAACTTGCGCAAAGCCTTCCTTCCCTTTGGAGTATTACCGATCTTTTTTTCTTCAATACCTAGCAATAAGGAGCAGCGAAAATTGTAGCACACGAAGGAGCTGGGAGGGAAACGGGGTGCGTTTGCGGGCGTTGTGGTTGGCGGGTGGGTGGGAGATCCTTAGAGGTCGCCCCCCTCCTCAAATGATTGCCTGTTGTTGTTGCTGTTGTGTTATTATTATTATTATGACTACGTGTTGTCTTTTGAGAGAGCGGCAATCCATGAAATGTGAAGAGCATTGCATGCTATTGTGTTTTGTATTTTTTTTGGGGAGGGGTCTTTATCGAACTCACAAATTGCATTGAACTCGTTTTCCTACCATTTTTGGTGCAACCCCCCTCCCTGTCTTTTTTATTATTACCCTGAGAGTGATGTAACTTTTGATGCCAGTTCCTTTTTTTTTCTTCAAAGAGGGGAGGGAATGTACTTCCTGTTTTCGTAAGCAACGTTTTGATCTATTTCCTTTTTGTCCGGAATGTGACCATGAATGTATTTTTGTGTGTTTTTCTTATATATATATATAACATGTCCGCCTCACCTCTTCCTCTCTATTGGCTGCCAAGGGAGGGGTATTATTAGGAGGAGGGGTGTGGTTGTTGTTGTGTTGTTGTTTATTCAAATGTTTGGCTTTTTTTATTAAAAAAAATGCTGTTTCAGGAGGAGGAAGAGGAGGAGCGCCAGCGTTTGCATGTAAAGGGATCGCGTTTAGGAGCAGCTAGCTACGGAGTTCGGAGGTGAAAGCAACGCTATGCAGCAATCGTGGGCGGTTTTAAGGGTTTCTTTTTGAGGGGTGGGGCGAGGGGTCTTTTGGTTCAATCACTTTATAGTGGCAATTTATGGGGAAAATGGGGGGAAAGCTTCAAAATATCCCCCATCTGTGGCTTGGGATGAGCTACATCTTGTTATCCCAAGACTTGTGTTTGCTGTATTTTTGTGCGGGGGGAGGGGGGGTTGTATATTGTTTCTGATGCCTTAAACCAGCCTTCCCCAACCGGGTCCCTGTTTAATCCCAACTGGGTCCCTGTTTAATCCCAATTGGGTCCCTACTCAATCCTGGTTGGGTCCCTACTCAATCCCAACTGGGTCCCTATTCAATCCCGGTTGGGTCCCTACTCAATCCCGGTTGGGTCCCTACTCAATCCTGGTTGGGTCCCTACTTAATCCTGGTTGGGTCCCTACGCAACCCCGGTTGGGTCCCTACTCAATCCTGGTTGGGTCCCTACGCAACCCCGGTTGGGTCCCTACTCAATCCCAGTTGGGTCCTCCTTCAATCTCCATTCAATCCCAGTTGGGGAAGGCTGCCTTAAAACCCCTACACACCAATGGCTTCTAAGGGAGGTTGGCGTTTTCGGGGTCCGTTTTCTGTTCCCGGGGTTTCATTTCACGAAGGAGAGGTGCTTTGCAAGGAGCCATGCAGGCCCAGCGGTCAGTCCCCCGCCATCCTTCCCTTTGTGGGGTCGGGCCACGCTGTGAAGGATGACCCCCCTCGGACCCCCAAGCCGTCATCGCCTCCTCTTCCTCCTCCTCCTCCTCTTTGGCCACGCTGCGGGCTGGACGCCCATCTACCTCGGACCACCCCTCAAGTATTACTATTTTACGCGGAAACTGTGACGGGACGCGCGCCGAGAGACGCCGGCGGACTCTGGCCCCCCCTAAGCTCCATTGACTGAGAGTGGAAACATGTTTACAGACCCCCCTCCCTTTTCCACCCGATTTCTGCGAGAGTGTGTGTTTGGGGTTTTTTGGTTTTTTATTTTCATTTTTTTGGTGCAAATCGGCCGAAAACGGGGAAGGGGCCGCCCGGAGGCTCCCGAACCCCCTTCTGAATGTTTCCTCAACGAGACGGAATGACCGCCCAGGACCTGCCCGGCGGCCGGACTCTCCTTGCTTTCCTCCCGTTGGGGATGTGGGTCAAACTGACCGCTGGACTCCAGGTCGACCTTTGGTGGGCCGCTTCGGAGCCGCCGTCGCAGAGACCCCGTTGCGGGGAATTATCGCTACGGAAGGAGGAAGGCCTGCTTCTCTTCCTCTTCCGCAAACATGAACTGGATTTCCTGAAGCTTCTGTGAGCAGGACCCTTGCGCTGCCCCCTCCCTGCGCCTTAACGGTGGAGGACTCCCCCCGCCCTCAATTCTGTACATAGGGCCCAATCCCGCGCCTTCCCCTCCAAGGCAACGCTAGGGACTCTTCGGTTGAAGGGGGTCCGCTATTTCTCCACGAGTTGTTCAGATGCCAAACCCCTTCCTTCTTCCCCTCCCTCCGCTGTACTATATCCCCCCTTGCCCCCTCCCCAAAACGTGACCTTTCTATGTGCGTCTTCTGTAAATAAGCCTGCCTGCCTTTTCACGGAAATAAAGAGACACTTAGACAGCTCTGCGTCCGGGGTTTTCTTCTCGAATCCGGGAACAAGGCTTCTCTATTATTGGGAGGGCCAAAGGGAATGGGTCTGGTCAAGTGACCCCCGAGACGCATGGGAACCCGGGAGGATGGGACTGGGAGTGACTGCATGTCATTTTGGCAAAAAATTTTTTGCAAAGGATGGGCTTTTCATCAGAGAATGTAAAAGTTTATGTGCATTGCGTGTTTTTTAAAGGGGGTGGGGTGGGACAACCTGCACAAAAGGGAAAGGACCCGAGGCTGCCGAGGAGGAAAAGGACAGATCCCGAGGCTGCCGAGGGGGGAAAGGAAAGGTCCCGAGGCTGCCGAGGGGGGAAAGGAAAGGTCCCGAGGCTGCCGAGGGGGGAAAGGAAAGGTCCCGAGGCTGCCGAGGGGGGAAAGGAAAGGTCCCGAGGCTGCCGAGGGGGGAAAGGAAAGGTCCCGAGGCTGCCGAGGGGGGAAAGGAAAGGGTCCCGAGGCTGCCGAGGGGGGAAAGGAAAGGTCCCGAGGCTGCCGAGGGGGGAAAGGAAAGGTCCCGAGGCTGCCGAGGGGGGAAAGGAAAGGTCCCGAGGCTGCCGAGGGGGGAAAGGAAAGGGCCCGAGGCTGCCGAGGGGGGAAGGAAAGGGACGGGCTGCCAAGGGAAAGGAAAGGTCCCGAGGCTGCCGAGGGGGGAAAGGAAAGGTCCCGAGGCTGCCGAGGGGGGAAAGGAAAGGTCCCGAGGCTGCCGAGGGGGGAAAGGAAAGGTCCCGAGGCTGCCGAGGGGGGAAAGGAAAGGTCCCGAGGCTGCCGAGGAGGAAAAGGAAAGGGCCCGAGGCTGCCGAGGGGGGAAAGGAAAGGTCCCGAGGCTGCCGAGGGGGGAAAGGAAAGGGAAAGATCCCGAGGCTGCCGAGGGGGGAAAGGAAAGGTCCCGAGGCTGCCGAGGAGGAAAAGGAAAGGGCCCGAGGCTGCCGAGGGGGGAAAGGAAAGGTCCCGAGGCTGCCGAGGGGGGGAAAGGAAAGGGCCGAGGCTGCCGAGGAGGAAAAGGAAAGGGCCCGAGGCTGCCGAGGGGGAAAAGGACAGATCCCGAGGCTGCCGAGGGGGGAAAGGAAAGGGTCCGAGGCTGCCGAGGGGGGAAACGACAGATCCCGAGGCTGCCGAGGGGGGAAAGGAAAGGGTCCGAGGCTGCCGAGGGGGGAGAGGAGAGGTGCCGAGGCTGCCGAGGAGGAAAAGGAAAGGGCCCGAGGCTGCCGAGGAGGAAAAGGAAAGGGTCCGAGGCTGTTGAGGGGAAAAAGTAAAAGACCCGAGGCTGTTGAGGGGAAAAAGAAAAAGACCCGAGGCTGCCGAGGGGAAAAAGGAAAAGGCCTGAGGCCATTGGGAATTGTGGGAGTCGAAGTCCAAAACACCTGGAGGGCCCAAGTTGGCCCTTGCATCTAGCTGGGTGAATTGGCCCTCTGAGGAGTTAGGAGAGAAAGAGGTCTGTGTGGGAAATGGAGAAAGGAAAGAGCGAACCTCAGGTAGCGCATTGCATTGTAGACATTATGAAGGAGGCCATCTTAGAGCTGGAGAAGGGAGGAGGAAGCAGGTGGACCCCTTGACCCTCAACCAGTGTGAGAGCTTGGTTCTGGTGCAGGCCCAGCGGGCAAAGCCAGCACCATGACATACATTGTCTTCTGGGGTTTGCAGGAAGGAGTAGCAGCAGCCTCTGGGCCTCATGCTGGTTGCGAGGGACTCTGGCAAAGCCCAGTTTGACCACCTTGAGAAAGGATCATTTCGAGGCACTTTGTGGGGGAGAAGCAAGGGTTCCAAAGCAGGCAGGAGACCCCCGCCTCGGGGGTCACCTTGCGAGACTTCTCCATATCCTCCCAAGGACCTTTAGTCATTGTTGACATCTCCCAAAAGTCCTCTTTCTGCAACAGAAAGCATTTAGGTTGCCCTTAACCTTTGAACTTCTTGGGGGGCAGCACCCCTTTTTGCTCTTAGTTTAGAAGAGCTCTTTTAGGCCCAGAATTGAGACTGAGATCAAATCAAATATGG